AGTAGTGGTAGTAGTAGTAGTAGTAGTAGTAGTACTAGTAGTGGTAGTAGCAGTAGTAGTAGTAGTAGTAGGAGTAGTAGGAGTAGTAGTAGGAGTAGTGGTGGTGGTGGTGGTGGTGGTGTTGTTGTTGTGGTACAAATGCGGTTGTCGTGTCGTGCGTAAAACTGGTTAAGTAAAACATAGCTTTGTAGTTTTTTTGCATGTGCTCCTGCCGGGTGTTCGTCAAGAGACGACGCTTCGCCGCGGATCGCTAGTAGTGCACCGTCAAATCGAAGTGCGGCTTGTCCGTTGAAGTTCAGGGCATCCAATCGTTTCTCGTTGTTGCTTAGACGCCTGCTTCGACAGAGGATTGTGATTGTGATGGTGAAGGTGAAGATGATGACGATGATTTCAATGCTGCTGTCGGCGGTGTAGATTGACATGGAGATGCATGGAGGGAAAATCGATGTGGAGGCCGCACACACTGCAGGGTTCCAGGCCATGAGGCGGCTCAACCAACTCTTGTGGTTGCAAGCTTTGTCGTTCCGTCATTACCTTGCAAATGTCAATTTGCCTGCATGGGCTCCAGAATGCAGCCTGCCCGAAAATTCCAAGCTGGCCCGGTTCCAATCTCGCGACGGAAGCCGAATCTTGGGCGAAAGCAGTGGCCATTGGCATGGACCAGTGCAGTCAATACAGTATCGGGGAAATGCAGGGCATGTTTTTGGAGGGGTTTGCCGCGGTTCGATTGTCCGAATATGCGAGGGTGCCGGCCTTGGTTCGGCTGTTGCTCTTCCGCTTGTGAAGAGATGTCGTAGCTACGGCCGACCCTGCAAAGCTGTTAGTCGTGTCTAAACCGTGGTCCAAAAATCCTGAACAAAACGAACATGTGCTGTGCAACCTGGGTGTTCGAGTTCTGCCTCTAGAAGTTGTTTGCGGTGAGAATGATGACGATTCCGCCAACGTGCTGATCTCGTTTTTGTCGTTCTCTGCCCCAAAACCACTGACGGAACAAGGCGAAAACTTGCCCATGTGCAGTTGTTGCGGCCGCAGCTGTCAGGTCAGCAGCATTGTCGACTTTGCGTGCCGAATGCTCCGTTGACTTGCCCTTGGTCGATTTTGCAGCATCGATACCAATTTGGGAGTGGTCAGAGGAGGATGTTGACAGGTCTGGGACCCTGGTTCAAGCACGGATCGGTAAGGCTCTGTAGCAAAGTGACCCTGTGGAGGTGGATCAGGACCGTAGACAACGGGCGCTTCAAGTACCTGGTCCTGCCCCCGCAAATTACGGGAGCGGCGCTCCTGAAGCTGTCGTCGAAGGGTCTCGCCGAGCTCTTTGAGATGAGCATGCGCCGAGCTAGGGGACGAGGTGAAGGGCAGGCCGGTAGCCGAGAGCTCGAGGGGGTTTGGGAGTTGGGCTGTCGGCTTCAGTGCGCTACGGCTACGACAGGCCTGGAACGAGACAGCGGCCAGGGAGGTTGGCTTCCGCATCGGCCGCATGGTTTTCGCTGCGGTACGCCGGGAGACCCTTCGCTGGCCAGACGGGGCTGCGAGGCTCATAGAGGTGCGGCACATTGTGGCATTGCGGCACATGACATAGTGAAGGGCAACAAGACCTGGTACAAGGATACGGTGATGATGTTCGGCGATGGTTGGTTTTGGGATAATAGAATCATATAAGTATCGGATATCCGCCTTGAAGTGATGTGCTGCCAGTTTCCGCCCTACTACCTACCCGGCTCTTCGTGCTTCCCTCCCTCACGTGCGCGTGATCGCACACCCCACAACCTCAGCGAAGAGTGTTTACTCGCCACCATGACAGGAAGTTTGTATTGGGAGACCTCCCGGAGAGACTAGAGGACTGTTCCAGTGCCTGCGCCCGATGCAGGCAGAGAGACTGGAGGCCACGGAGCGTGGGCTCATGGAAGAAGGCTTAAACTTGCCACCAGAATCAGCTCCTGGGATGAAGTGTGGGCTGGGGGACTTTCTGGTGCCATCCTGTACTTCTGAGCTGTGCTATGCTGTGGTGTATAAGGAGCGGCACTGTGAGTTCTTCTTCTGGGGCGACACTTCACTCGTTCCTGGCACTCTGTGAAAGATTCTGACATGAAACTTGATGTACAGCTGTACTCACAATAGTGGTCCCATGTTGCAGCTTCGCAAGGGCTGACCTGGCGTGAGCTCCAACTCGAACTGCCAAAATGCGCCTGCTGCACTATAGCGTGTGTTGCTGCATCATTGCTGCGTGGCAGGTAGGAGACGTCTCTAGACCCTAATTGGGGAGACCCCGGTGTGGCGTCTTGGACATTTTGGGAAGAGGGTTACTGGAAGCAAGGTGCCCCTTTCGTAGGTATTGTGACCGGCATTTCGGCTCGTCCCAGAACTCGGCGATTGGTTCCAAGTTGTCCTGCCAGCTGGGGCGGCTCATGCCGGCCTCAAGCCATAGCATCAGGATGCGGATCTTCATGTCAGAAAGCCAGGCATCTCCATGAATGTGGCTGTTCGGTGCAACCTGCTTGCCTTCAGCTTTGCCTTTGCGCTAGCTGCTTGGCTGCTTTTTCGTTTCAGCGTCCCAGTGGTGCAGACTCATTTGCTGAATGCAGCTCGCATAGCCACAAGGTCGGCACTGCCTGTTCGGACTCCCTCGCTGTTCTTAAACTTCAAATCATACAGAGCATGGCACAGCAATGAGTATCTAGTGAGGCCGCAGCGGCCACGCCGCTGCATGTGGGCACCCTCACATTGGCATTGTATGTGGCAAGCAGCTTGGCATCAGCATTTCGCAGGAAACGGCATCACCACCTTCCCAACAGCTTCAAACTGAGGCATATTGGCTTATGCAGGTGCGAGTTGCAAGTCTGCCAGCCGCAAAGCCAGCGCTTGGAGATCAGGTTGGGCTGGCCTTCACTCGTAGTCATACACCAGATGTAGGGAGCGGAGGTTTGAGAAAAGATAAGTGGTGGTACTGTAAGCCTTTTCCGAGGCACAGGCAGGCAATCTCAATCTCAAGCATTATCGCAAGCGCCACAGGTCTTGAGACATCTGATTCCGTGCCATGTCGTCTTTTCAGCAGATTTGCCTTTGTGGTGGCGAGCGAAGGGAGCCGAAGCAGAGCTTCGAACGTTATCTAATAGACTGTGTTTGCGTTAAATGCGCACTGCCCCTGACCACCGAGGTTGAGGTGGCAGAAGTTGCAATTGCAAGTGGCACGCAGTGGATCCTGATTTGTGGCGGTGAGCCCTGTCGTGATTTTGTGGGCGCAAGGCTTGGTGCGCGGTTGGAGCTCCAACCGAATGCGCTTGCGTTTTTCTCCAGCGGGCACTTCAAGCTCGAATCCGACTTTGCACCAGAAGCTGCGGTCCAGCAAAAGCCGACAAGTCACTTCCCTGGCGTTGACTTGCTGCAGCTGCAAAAGGTCATGCAGTTGGACAGAGACTTCGAATCTGCATTCTAGCTGCTGATCTTTTGAGCTTTGTTAAACATTAGTCGGGGTTTGTTGGTTTCAGATGCTTAGGAAGCGATCGATACTTTGGCCAATTTCACCACGTTTCTTCGATGCATCGACAAGAAGCGTCTGGCTCGTAACAGTTGGACTCTCAGCATTCCCTGAATGCGCACAGATTGCAGCAATGGTTGAATGTGCAACGCAAGCTCTGGCTCCAATTGGAATCCAAGGGAGTGCTCCGGTTGACGTGGTTGTTGTCACCTCTTCTTACCATGTCCCACGGGCCAAGACGATTGCCACATTGGTGCTGGGCTCCAGAGGGCTGTCATTCCATTTCGCGGAGGCGCATTTCGACTGAACCAGAGCTTAAGTGTAAGACTGTAGCCCATGGCTGCTCACCTGTAGAGCCGGCCCCCCAATCGGCAGGACAGATATCACAAGTGAAGGCTTTCGTCCAACTAGGCATCGGTTCAGGGAAGGAAGGTCTAAGGGACGTTTCGCAGATAAGGCCGGCCCAGGGTGTCGAGGAGAAGGAAGACATGGCTCGGCGCAGCCTTCGAGAGGGCAGCTTTCGACGTGCTCGTGACGCACTTCGAGCTCTTGTCTGGCTCTTGTCGAGCTTTGAAGGTCCGAGCGCAGACGTCCTAGCAGTTCATGCACGAGCAATTCTGCCTGAGCTAACTCTTTCCAGGCGCCACTCTGATGCACGTGTTTGCAGGTGATTGCCTCGCTGGTCTTCTGCATCAGAATCGGCGGGCCTTCCGTTCATGGTACAGGGAGCAAGCAGAACACTGTCGGACATGAAGCTGGCGTGGAATGCGACCGGACCATCTCAGGCTCCTGCTCAAAGAGATCTCGGCCCAAAGGGGAACGGCCCTAAAGTTCGAAGCTGCGGACGCCTCGACTCCAGTCGTGCCAGTATTCTCGGCCACCGGATGAAGGACGCAAAGAAGTCGAGCTTTTCGCAGCTTGCCTGCTGGCCGAAGCCATCGTGTTCTGGCTTAGACTTCGCAGCTAAACTGATCTAAACTCGCTGCATGCGGTTCAAAGAGCTAGCTGGTCGCTGAGCTGCACAGCACATGCCAGCATACTTGCATGTTTCCTGTCCACTGTGCGGCCCAAGGCTAGGAAATCTGAAACATGTCGAGCAAAGCTCAGAGAAGCAAAGCTCCGGTGTATCGGGGTTTCGAGATAGGCTATGCAGCTCGCGACCTGCGTAAGGTCGCCAGAAAGATATCAACAAACAAGCTTTCATTTCAGACAGAGCCCTTCCGGCTTTTCTGCGAACCTGAAATTGTATGGAACGACAGACATGTGAGGACAAGAAGCTAGGATGTCCTGGCCATGTGCTGCTGCACGGCCTCTGTGTGCCGAGGAGGGCATGGCAGCTCCGTAGCTGCGTAGCATTGCGTAGCATTGCGTAGCACTGGCTCCGAAAGGCCGATGGAGTTCTTCTGTGGACTCTTCGATGCTCCCCCTGAGCCTCTACACTTTGTGCAGCCGAGTGAGGAACTGCTTGGTTATGCAGAGGCCTGGCCTTGGAATCCTTGGAACCCGATTTACCATTCACGAAGCCACTATCACTGCCATTGCAGGCTTCCACGGTCGTGGATGTGCTTGGCAACGACGTGGTCACTCGAACGGCCTTGCATGCTCTGCTGGTCCGCAACCGACTCAGGCCGACTGAGGCTGCTGTCTTCATTCTTGGTCATGGTGACTGCTGTGGCACCAGGAGGCAGGACTCGGCAGGGCACAAACACTCAGTATACTTACCGGGGAAATTCGCTTGCATGTGCTCGAGGGAGCTCCTCCTCGCGGTCCCGTTATGCACAAACCTTGTCGTGGAACTCTGCCGAGTTCCACCGTCAACCCAGGCGCGGCCTGACGGTCAAGCTGCTTTGCTTGAATTCTCACCTGTGTGGCAGGCCCCCAGAACCCACAAGTTTAGCTAGAGGTTGACCTCGTGACTCGTTCACACGTGGTCCGCTCTTTGAGCCGTTCCCTGTCGGTCCTAAGGTTTTCTTGGTCTTGGATGGCTTGGTGGAGGGCTTTGGCAGCCAGTTGAAGAGGGTCGAGAAGAGTGGGAGGGGTCATCGGCTGACTCCAGAGGCCGGAAACCTGAGCCGGAATGAATGCGATCTTCTCTCTCCACCACTGTCATGCCGTCTTCCCGTGCTGATGTTGCGAGGAGTTTTCGCGGTGCTTGAAAGAATTGCACAGCACCGCTCACAGCCATCGGTATTTCTTTCCGTCCAAAGAGACGAATCACGACTGGATCTACAGCCGCTCGCCTGCATCCCTTTGCCGAAGCCTACTCAATTCGTCGGCAAGCAGCTGAAAACCATGCAACACACGGGCCACCATTCCACGGGTAATTAATCGCGAGCACCAGTACAGGTAAGTAAAGATTGGAACTTCGTCTTTTCATGAAGCTTTCTCAGCCAAACCTACGATCATGTCACGCACGGTGCCTTCCACACAGGTTGGTGTGTTTTGACGATGCCGGAGCATTAGTGGAGTTCGCAGCGATGGGTGTACCCAGGCTACGGCGTTGATCGACTACCCATGGCCGTCCAGAAAGCTTCACAACCCATGTGGCAGCGAAAGAAGCCTGATAAGATGACATCTTTGATATTTCAAGACACGTTCCTCGTCGGAATGTGGTTCTGTGTCGCAGTGTGTGGCGCTTCTGGAAGCGCTCGATCTGCGATGTGCAGACCTAGTGTCGCACATGGCAAACCAAGGCACATCAGCATGCTTGTTGAGCCGCATATATCATGGAAGCTGCTGGGCCAAAGGGCACGGCGACACAAGCAATGTTCAACAGGAGCTGGCATCGAGTTTTGTTGCATGGCTTGTCACCGAGGAAGATCCAGCCATTTTTGAAGGAACGTCAGACAGAGTTTTCAGAAGAAGCGAGACGCAGGATAATGACAGTGCCAGGGACTGCACGCAAGGTTATCGGGTCAGCGGTTGTCATGCACGGGCAAATCAAAGCTTGCGAGGTGACCTTCAACTGTGCTTCCCAGAAACCCATGGCTCACGACATCCACAACTTCTTCGCGGAGGGCGAGCCGTTGCCAGACACTTGCTGCAACTTGATGCCACGTTTTCGCAGTCTGTTGTAGATGCCGCAATTGGAGCCACAGTCAGTCTTGATTTCATTGCTCACAGCTGGTAGTTCCTTCTGTATGCCACGAGTTGAATCTTCGCTGTGCCAGACGAACCAGGACGCCACCCCTCAAAGCGACCCAAAACGTATCCCCCGGCTTGCGAAGCTTCGCAGACGCATTCGCAACGATTTTGGTCACCTGTTCCATCCCTGAACCCCACCAATCCCATTGGAAGCCGTACTTTAGTATACTTGTCTGGTGATGTTGTTACAGAGTGCAAGAGTGTTTTCCGAAAGTGGCTCCATGTCGCCTGCCGCTGTTGTGTGTGAGTGGGCGGTGGTCTTTTTGCAGCTTCCGAGTGTTGAGAGTCGCAGTCTGGAAGCGAGAGAGACGACGGATTGTAGTTCGGATTTTGAGTGTGTTGCTTGCTATAGCTTGGAATTGGCTGGGCTGTCAAGTTTGGTGCGCAGGCTGTGGGGATTAGGGCACGCATTGAGGCTGTATGGCCAAATGGCCAAAGCTTGAGGCTTCAAGGAATCAACAGTACGGACTTTTTGAGGTCGAAGCTTTCCAAGCTCCCTAAAAACTCCGCATCCTTTCCACGCTCTTTTCACAATTGTTGCAGGAGTGCCATGTGCGATAATGCTTATGTAGTTGTAGCATGGGCTGGATATACATGTAACTATCGAGAGAAGGTGCTCGAGACGGTGTGCATGTCAGAAGATCGATCTCTCGAGTTCGATTTGATTGCGATTTTAATTCCAACCGATCGAATTTGCGCTCCCCATGCCAGCTCGGAACCTCCAGGACATTATTTTCGTGGCACTCCAGGAGACGTGCCCATTGGCGCTTGCAATCGACGTGACGGAAATCGCCAGTGCACAATATCACAAAGCCTGGAGCTCTGCGGTCACAGCAGCCGTGAAGCATCGAGGCTGCTTGCCAGCACTGGTTCGAGTGCTATGAGTCTAAAGGGCAATGGCCTAGTGTACATTGCAAGCTTGCAGCTAACTGAGGCGAGTACAGGCTTCTGGCCGACTATGCCATGGTTGGATTGCAGTTGCTGCTGTATGTTCTTGAGGATTTGGCACCCAAGGTGTCCCAGATTCTCGGGTTACAATATGTACATTCTGATCCTTTAGCCAGCCTATGCACTTGCCGATACTTTCTCAGGACTTGCTGGGGATCCGCCCGCTGTGGGACACTGGGCGCTGGCAACAAGGGCGCGGTGGCTTTTGGGCTTGCCGCTCACAGGGAATTCGTGGAGTTTTGGTTGAGATTTGGCCTGTCAGCGCCGAGTGATGCGTGAAGCTGTATGTCTGCTCACACCCCAGTCTGGTGAATGCATTGACATGCTTGAATAGGCTGTGCACATGCTCCATGAACCCCCACGAACTCCATCTTATTGCGGTTGCGAGTGACGCCGGAAAGCTTTTGTCATTGTGAAGGGAAAGGTTTCTGGTTGCTTAGATTGAGTGTCTACTCAGCATGTTGTGCATGCGCTTGTTTTCAACAGAGAGTTTACGGCTCTCATTCAACAGGTCATGGGATCCACGTCGTTCTGCTTCGTCAACTCACACTTGGCAGCTGGCGAGAGCACCTCGAGCTCACAGGAGAGATCTCAGGACTGAGTTGGCCACACATGACGAGATGAAAGGTTCGAGTTTCCAAAGCGCCGACCAAGCACTCTTGTTTCGTAGGACTTCGACTACATCATACAGACGTTGCGCTTGACGGGCATCTCTGCAAATTGCACCGTGGCCCCTGTGGATGTACGAGATTCTCGTATCTCGGATGGCAAAAGCTGGCGGGAATCCTCAAGCGTACCATAGTCCAGCCAGCTGCCCAGCACCAGCAGAAAACCAGCAGCGGTTGTGAGTCAAGCTCTGGAAAAAACACAGGCACGACCGGCACGACCGTGTCTTAAGCAGGTGCATGAGCTTACGTGTGTGGCTATGTCCTTTCATCCACTTGCCGAAAAAGTCTGCCGGGAAGGTTCACGTTCCCGTATATGCAGTTCGCAGTAGGTGACATCTCTTTACGTACATCAGCTTTGGCACGATTCGATCTCGAAACATGCGCTACCTGGACGATGTTTTTGCGTTATACGTTGGGAAGGAGCGACAGTCCATCAGTATTGTGATTTTTGTTGAAACTTGAGTGGGGTGTTTTTGTCTTGGAGCGGCTGCACGTGTGTCGAAACAGAGTCAGATGCGTAGAAAACTTTAATTCGAATCACAAAAACATTTTGTCAAACAAGCTTTCTCAGGAGAGAAAAGAAGAAGGTACGGTCCGAAGGAAGCAAAACTAAAGACAGTTAGCAGCAAAAAGGACGTGGGAAGGAATGGACAACAAGACGTATAGCCAGCTCTACTACTACACAATATGTTCTGTGCATCGTCCCTTTACTTACTTGCGCCGCCATGGCACCGCCAGCTTCCTTCGCACAGTGAGCGCTTGATTTTCACTATGACTTTCTATCTACATTGCCATCATGACTTCTCCAACGATTGCCGGTAGGACTGCAAGGATTTTCATTACGACGTCTTCATGCCGATTGCCATCTAGGCTTCTGGCTGCTGGAATGCCATTGGGTTTCCTCTTGACATTGGACTTCATGCCGACTGATTACGAGCATCTGCACCAGACCGTCAGACTGTTTATTGGTCGCTTTTACCCATTTGCTCAGTGTGCGTGGTCTTGGTCGTAGGATTTGCCGGCGAATATGCAAACGAGTGAGTCAATACTCATGCCGTGTTTGTGTTCGTTTTGCTTCGTGTGCACGGCCTCAGTTCTTGGCTGAAGATATGATTTCGTGGACACCGGCTATTTTGCCCCGCGCACGCTGGGAGCAAAAGGAACAACACCAGCAAGCCGGTTTTGTTTGTTTCCGCTTTGATTTCTCAGCAACGTAGGAGATGCCTTCAAGTGAGGCTCGCGCACAGTGCAAAAGAAACGTCAAGGATGTCTTTTGTTTTCAGCGAGTGCCTCGTTGCGTTCTGCTGCCGCACGTAGAGAGCACAAAGAGTACATGTGCAGCAGAAAACGGCAAGGAACAAAACATAACGCTGAACACAACAAACATTCTCACCGTAAAAATATGACAAGCTTAAACACGGTCAAACACATTTTTCTGAAAGGGAAAGTTCAACGTTTTGCTTCGTGCTGATCCGGAGTGCAAGTCTCGAGTAATTATTGTTCGGAGTGGTTACCCTTCGTGCTGATTGGGTGCTGCTTGCCCGTTGTCTTCCATTCTGTGTTATCGCAGCCCTTCATGCGTTCATGGTGCACTCTGCATTCACCATCTCATACTCAGTTCCCCCCAAAAGGCAATATCTTTGAGCACGACCTCGTTGTTTGGGCAGGCGGGCACGAAGACGGTAACAGTATGTGCGAGCTGTGGTGCGCGAGCGATTCAACTATTGCCGATTGATTAGATGCAGTGAAGCGGTACCATATTCTCGATGCTCATCAGCAGGCGATTTGAACATGCGACTCTGGCGCGACGTTGAGATGACAGAGGTGATGCATCGGACTGAGGCTGCTGGTTTTCAGATGGGAGCGGGTAGTGCAAACACTGCTGTTTGTGATGCTGGGCTCTGTTGATGCCTGGGCAACGTGATTGGTTGGGGGCATGACATCATGCAGCAGGAAACTGCTCGTCGTGTGCAGACATGTTTGTCCTGCAACAGGTCTTGTCGATGCTGCAGCAGCACCAGCTGCAACGATTGTCCTTTGGCAACAATTGCACTTGCAGGTTCGTGTGTGATGCTTGAAGCGAACTTACATCTGCAGGCTCGATTACGATGAGTTGCACCGTCGACGGCTCGCCAGTGGTTCATTTGCGGCTTTTGAAGAAGCTGCGATCGACTTCCTCCCAAGTTCCCAGCTCATCTCCGCTTAGTCGTTAGTCGTCGTCAGCTGGGATGAATTTGCTGAGCCTGCTGGGCCGTGAGGCTACAAATTTCGTCCTATGAGCAACTCGAACAAGGACGAAGCAATGCAAGATGTCAAGCTCCTTGAAGCTCTGTGTGGTCAGTATGATGCCTTGCTGCACCCAGTAATCCGTTGGTGAGTGTTGTAGAGTGCATGATGCCGACGTTATCTGATGCATCACTGAATGTGCATAGCGATGTTCCAAAATCTTTGCGTCGATGGTCGCATGTTCAAGGATGACAAGCGCACGCCTGCGTGGTGTGACCGCATAATCTGGCGTGCCCGTCGAAAGGTGAAGCAAGAAGGCTTGCTGCGATATGATTCTTGGCATATAAATTGCATGTTTGGGTGACGCTCTGCACGCCTGGGCATTCCTTGAGGAGCTGCTTGACAGCACAACGTTCTCCGACCATCGACCAGTCAGGCCACGTTATGGCTAAACAATCCTGCGCTTATCTGCGTTTCAAGCAGAGGAGCTTCAGCTAAACTTGTTTCGAGCAAGCCTCTTCCAGTTCTGTCCAGGCTATGCATGCAGATTTGCATCCACGAAATGAGCCTAGAGGACCTCAGGCGTGTATGCTCGGAATATGAATTAAAGCGCAGTGCTGTGCCGGACTTAGCTGCTCTCACAGGGTTCGTCTTCCAAACTTCTTCAGCTCCCGTGCTGCCAAGTCGCTTCGCCTTTTGCGGAGTGGGTCTTCTTTCGAAGAGGCGGCTGAAGAAACAGAGGCTCCGCTTCTCTGGCATCGGAAAGCAGACAGAGTCCTGTGCTCGCAGGCATCTCTGACCAAGGCCGCGTTGTGACGTCTGAAAACGCTACAGGATTTTCTGAGAGGATTGCCTGAAGTCCGAAGGACAGCGCGGTAATCTTCTTTGGCTGGGGTGTAAGCCTGCAGCAACCCGTAGCTAGGATGTGCTGCCAAGTCTCCACAAAAAGGCAAGTCGGCGTCACGCTTTTTCATGCTCTATGCCTTAATTTGCGCAGTTCTGTCCAATTCTAATTCTAGGATTTTCGTTCTTCAGTGCACCCAGGCCGACTCGGAGATCACGGAAGGCCGAGAAGGCCAGAAGCCGGGTGAGGCGCGCTCAATGGAATTGACCCTGCGTAAACGGGAGCACGTGCAATCACGCGCAGCGCATCGAAGCAATTTGAAGCATCGTGAAGGCCAGGGTGGCCAGGCCACTCCCGGAGTGCCGTGCACCTGCAGCGCAGGCCGTGGCTTCGGACTGTGAGATTCCTATCGCCTGAAGAGGCCTCGCTCCGTTTCGACAACCCCGGTTCGCCACGACTGATGCACGAGTTTCGCAAGATTGGAGCACAGACAGGGGGGAAGGGGAAAGTCTACAAGCAGGGAAGAGCCAAGCGACTCGTGGACTCGTGACCCGACGTGACGGAGCGAACGCAGGGGCCTTTCGGTGGCGTCGCACACGAATGGAAGCGAGCCGAGGCTAAATCCACAGGCCAAGCCACAGGGAGCTCCTACAACAACGAGGACGAAGAGGTGAGAGCACAGCGAACTGGACATACAATGACATACAGTAACACACAGGTTGAGGGCGGCTCCTTTCGTCCAGCTGTATTCTGGCGGAGGCAGAAGCACAGCCTTCATGGGGCCATGGGGCTTTATGGTGCTTTAGGGTTTGGAAACCAGAGGCTACATCGCATCGGCCTTCATTCGCAGTCCTGGAACGGGGAGAAGCAGGGTACTGAACAGTGAGCAGATAGGGACACCCCTTGCCAGCAGAAACCACAGAGAGTGTGACTGCGGACCCGACCACCACAAGACTTTTCAAGCGAGCCACAACAAGTGTCCTACAGGTCCTGTTCGCCGCACAGTGAAGCGCTAAGGGCAGCTGCAACTCAGTCTTTCTTTGTCTTTTGGCCTGCTGGTGTGCCTTGCAATCTTCATGGGACCAGCAGCGAAACCGAAGAGAGCCGAGTGCTTTTTCCTCCCTCGTGCGCCTCCTTGCCAAGTTTCTCTCACCACCAAGACAGGATGCTTGACTCGGATCTCGGAGTGTCAACATCCACGGATTGCCTTCTCGATTTTGTCTGCATGACAGGACGATGCAGTGCCGCAAGATCTTCCTGACCTTAAGGCCCGACGTTTCGTGCTCGGGGTTGTGGGGCCACCTTGAAGAAAGCCGGCAATTTTCATGACTTAGGAGTTGTCCCGTAACCACGAATTTAACGGACTGCAGACTCGGCCCGGCTGCAGATTTGCCTTGAAGCTTGTGAGTTTCAGGCAGTGACTGCAGGCGGCCGTGTGCTTGGAGAACTGATACTGTAGCATTCTTTCCAGACCGTCTTCATCCCGGGATGAAGTCTTTCTGAGGTCCACCGTTGGACAACATGAGCCAGACGCCCCCCATCGCTTGTCGCTCGTCCCTTACTGGTGGTTCTGTGCGGCCGGAGAGCTTCTTTTCAGAAAGGCATGCAGCAATTGGATTCAGGCGTACACGGTTTGCAGATCCAGACGTTTTATGCATGTTGGCCTTCCCTGGAACATCTCGGAACGGAGCAGGCCTTCAAGGGTCGGTGGCTGGCTACGAAAGCTATGCAGGCAGCGCTCGCTTTCAAGGTCAGTTCGGGAGACTCTGGACATTTTCGGGCCAGTCCCCCCCGAGTTTAGCCGTTGCAGGCGAGGTGACGCCACAGCCCGTCTCCGGCCTGGCCCAGCCCCAGGCACTGGAACAGAAAGGGAAGCTGCAGTGGGCTTGCCCGGGCACGTGTCCATTAGTATTCTGGAGGTGCAGGTCGGCAAACTCGCCAGCGGCTCATTGCTAAATCCCACCTGCTTATCTCGTCGGCAACCTGAGCCGGTTCAGCGGGTATGAGCATCGATTTGAGCGTACGTCCTACTGGCCAGGTTTAAGTTTTGCCGGGATAAAGCTTGGTGCGTAAAAAGAACGGGCAGTGTTCACAATTGATTTAAGAGCCTGTATGCCTTTGACTCGGCGAAGAGGCAGTATTCGATATTCTCTCAGCACTGCAGATAATGTGAATCGTTGGTGAAGGTGAGGCGATGGGTTTTTGCACTGGTGGCTTCTCAGGTCCAGAATGCTGAGATGAATAAGGCCCACCGCCTCGGGTCGAGGATTGCCGGGGCAAAAGGTGCTCGATCTTGTAGCTGTCAGAGGCTTCGATTCGCGGGATCTTTCAATCCCTTTGCTTGACATTCGTCACATTTGTTGAGGCAGAAGGTGTTGCACTGTTCCAGTCCGGCCAGTACTACAGGGCCTACCAGGCCCCCTTGGCCGATCTTGGCCGTAGTGTTTGCTGTTGATCGTACTGCATTGTGAGGTGTGGAGATGCAACATCGACGAGCTGGAGGCATTCGGCACGGACAGGTTAGGAGAGGACGGGTCGAGTGCTGGCGTGACTGGAGTGGCTAAATGAGCAGACCTTCGGAAGTGATGCATAGCCGCGCTCGCGTTGCAAGGACGGCCAGCGCACCTTTGTGGCGCTGTGCTTGAATGCTGCGCAGGCAACTTCTTACGAAGCTGACAGTCTTCAATACTTTTCACTCGCACTGCAGGCCTTGCTGAAATGCCCGGAGATTGATGGTGCTCCGACCGAGATAGCGGCCTCGATGGCTGACAAGGTGTGATTTGATGGGCGTTGCAGTGTTGGTCTGAACTAAGACCGTGCTCGACTTAATCGCCTCAGTGTCCTCAGTATGGACGGTTTTTTTCAGGGGCCACCTTGCTGGCTGGATGCTGGCTGCGGAAGTACTGGGACCTTGGGAGTAGAGTAGACTGCTTTCGTGTATCTTACGTGCTTACCGCGGCCGCTGCTGTCTCAAGAGGAAGGGTTCGTTGCTGTGGCAGAATTTCCATCCTCCACGGTCGTCGAAAGTGTCTTGGTCGCAGCCGGCTTGGTTACAAGCTGTAGCAGCGACTTTCTGCTGATACACACCACTCCTTAGTGGTGCAAGGATGCTCCGCTTAATGAAGGTGGTGCGAGGCTTACCATGCTGGGCATGCATGCCATCTTGCTGTGCCACATTGTGCGGTTGTGCAGTTTGGCTTCGCTGACTTCCCGTTCTCTGGCACCCCAACAGGCTCAAACATGCTCAAACAGTATTGCATTGGAACACTGGGACATCGCATTTTGCTCACAATGCTCGGCCCATCCGTCTTTCCTGTCGGCTGGCGAGTGAGGAAGGCAGGGGTTCTATATGCCTTGCACGTGCCCAGGAGCTGGCAGCCTGTGCGCATGAGAGAACTTGAGCAAGTGAGGATTTCGGGACTGTCGCATGGGACTGTTTGGCTCACAGGCTCAGAGGCTCCGGCTCCTTTGTTCGCCTTTTCGTGATAGCCATGGCTCTGCTCCGAGCAGCTTTGGCTCTGCGGACAGCTACGCTGCCCCGGAGCCTAACGCAGGCCGTGCCTCGAAGTGTCAACCGAGTCAACCGTCATGAGGATGTTCCTGATGCTGCCAGTGCTCGCTTCGAGGCCAGCACTGACTCCTTCCCCTTCGTGCCGGTGGACTGGGTCTTTCGTTTCTTCCCATACTTCAGTCGCGATAAGGTGCGATGGAGCCTGATGCGCCATGCGTCGTGTTCATATTCACCAGGGAGTGTGTCGGCTAGCTCTGCCTTTGCTTGACCACCATTTCGCCGAAGCTGATGTGCAGGTTCGCTTCATGCTGCGTTACGTCCAAATTTCCTTCTTCTCTGGCGCTCCGGCAGAATTTCAAGGGAAGCTCAGTGCTCAATTTTCAGTTCTTGTTTTGCTGTACCTACTGTAAAGGAAGACTAGTTGCACCAGAGTCTCTCGTGCACTCGCTCACCAGCTGTATAGGTCTGGGCTATTTCTATCTCTGGTGCCACACACCGTACGGCTGCGACAACTACGACCACTTCGCCGAGAGTCCGCTGTTCCTGTTTGCATCTGGCTTAGCTGGAGTTGTACACGGCGCATAGAAGCGTAGAGCCTTATGGCGACAGATTTGGTTTAACAGAGATCAAGCGTCTTTGTGGATCCCTAGAGAGCGAGACAGAGAGATGCTCATGCCTGGTAGAGTGAGAGGTGTAGATAGTAGTTGGGGGGTAAGCGGCACAGCACATCCGACAAATGGAGCAACGTGGGCAGTGCATAACTTGGGCCGTGGCCTCAGCCTTTACTTAGTCTGCCGAGCAAAAAGAAAGGCGCTCCCTTTCCCAACCATCCAGAACATGTGTTGACAATTTGAATGGAGGGCGGGCCTGCCGCCCTCTCCCGAAACGTTCAGTCACAGCAGCCGGGGGGATGAGGTTTGGGTATGCCTTGGCACAGGACCGGAGTTCAAGGCAAGTGTACTGCATGCTTGTCGGAGATGGTGCGCAAGCAGAGGAGGCACCACAGTACCATCTCCATCTTCATGTCTTTTTTCCATCTCTCTCCCTCTCTCTGTCGCCATCTCCATCTCTATAGACAATATTTGTAGCGATTTTGTTGTTTGTCTATCTGTTTATATACGCGCGCATGCAAGTGCCTCGTCTGTACAGGTGTGTACTGCCTCAGCCATTCAGTTTTTTGTCGTATTTTTGTTGCTACTGTGCTGGTTTGTTCGACAGGCATGCACATGTTGCCCCCACGGACAAAACCCTGTGTAACTACCTCACGAATGGCGGTTGACTCGGGCTGGCTTCATTGTCGTTGGTTTCTTGACTCCGTTCCTTGGTTTGTTTGGTTGGTTGGCTGGTTCGTTTGTTCGCGTGGGCGGTTCCCTGCTTGCTTCTTGATGCACGCATGTCTGCATGAATGCATGCTTCCATGTGGTTCTGCTGAAGCCGCGTGTTCTCGCCATGCTGGACATCGGAGAAACAACTCCTCGCCCATTCTGTTGCCCCTTGCTCTTGCAACAAGGTGAAAAGTCGCTTGGAGAAGTCGGGTCAGCTTGAGGAAAACGTGCGCATCAAAGTCCACCACTTCTATCCGCAGACAGAGTCCGAGTAAGATCATAGGGTCCGCAGCCGATAATGCAGAAGCCCGCTCCTCTTTTTGAAAAAAGAGATGAGCAATGGGACGGAGCGGGCAAGTGCGAGACTGCAGCGGCAGAGGAGAAACAGGCAGCCCACCGCCACGCAACAGTCATTTCATTCAGCATGCATGTCTTCTATGGGGGCTGTGTTTGTTAATTTCCTTTTGCGGACATGCGGATTATGGCTTGCCAGCATGTCAGGATGTACTGCAGAGCTTGATCGTGGAGAGAGTAGGTCATCACTAGGATACAACGATCATTAACTTTGTCTTGGGCCTTTACTGTCTGAGTTCTGAGTCGTTGAAACCGTCAATGCACTGTTAAAAGTCAAGCTCCAATGCCATGGGTTCCATGGGGCTTGCTCTGACTTCAGACAGGCACCGGTGTCTCCTGGCATGTGTCACTCAGGTGTAGTATCGGGAGTTGTAGGCCGAGGGTAAGAATCTTGGGATGCCACTTCCAACTTCCTGCTTGCATCTTCGACTTTTCAGAAGACAGAAGCACAGCAAAGATCCTTCGACCGCTGTGTACACAGAAGAAGTAGCGGAAGCCCATAATCGTGTACATTAGCTGTCAGAGATTGATTGCATTTCTCCACACAACTAGATGCGCAGCACAGTTGGCGCCTTATGAGGAGCCTGCGCTTGACCAGCTCCTTGCTTTGTGGGGCATGTTTGGCCAGCCACACTGCCTGAATGTCTTGTCGTTTATTGAAGTGTATTGTGATGGTGGACCGAGTGTCTGCAATTCGTGCTCCGTACCTGCTGTGGCCCAGGTGTGTTTCGCAACCTGTACTGGCACCATCGAGGGGGATCAGATGGCATCAACAACTTGTTGGTTCCTCGCAGCTTCAACTGTAGGCTGATGGAGCTTACCAGCATCCTTGGTTTTTTGGCATCTAGAGCAGAGCTGCAAGAGCTGTACGCTGGTGGCTACAACGAGCCATGTCGGCCTCGAGAAAGGAGCTTTATGTCGTTTTGGGTCCATCCGTCACGAGGCTAGTAGCTCCTGCTTGAAGCCAAGGCACGGAGAAGAGGTTACCTTTCCTTGGCTTTCCTTCTTCAGTCGTTGTGCATGACCATCTTTGATTGCCCCTTGGTGCAAATTGCGATCGAGAAGCTTTGTTCCTCGTTCCTGAGAGGACCTCTGAAAAAGTTCCCAGTGTAGACCAAGGCGACAGCACGACGTCTTTCCTCCTCGTCATCGCTCTGCTCGTCGGCCAACTTGCAGCGCTCCTCCGGCTGTATGCAAGACAAGACGATGATAGTGAAGGCTCGCTTTGGCCCAGGACCCAGGATATGCCACAGCAAGAACTCGCATCCGCCACCTCCCCCGTTCTCCATACCCCTCCCCTTTCTCATGCGGAACGGCCACATAGACGACACAGTGAAAAGGAAGAAGCACGTGCATCTCAGTTGCCTCCTGTCGTTTGCTACGAAGATGCTTGCATTATCCCGCAACCGAATTCTGGCTTGAGGCTTCTCGGTGCGTATCGAGACCTGGATTTTGGTCCTGCGTTCCTGAGTCCCTGGATAATCCGAGCAGCTGCTGGAGCAGGACAGGCTCGAGAAGCTAATAACTTTAGTGAAACTTTGGACCAGTGCGTTGCTGTTTCCACTCCTTCAGTTCCTTGGCCGTGCACTGGAGCTTGCGCCACGGTGCTAGCCTGCATGTGCTGCTTACAGCTGTGTTCACAGTCTTGCTCAACATGCTATGGCCTGCCCAAATATCTAAGTGGGGTGCTTTTTGGCATCCGTTCAATTCTCATTCAACACTTTCTTCGATCTGTTTTTCAGTGCTGATTTTCGCGAAGACTTTCCATGCCAATCTTGCAGAATGCGTGGCTGTGAGCTCTCGCGTGGCTTTGCCATCATTCTTCTCTTTTTTTTTTTTCTCTCTCTCT